TGAGTTCTGTGAGGTCTCGTGTTGATTCAGGGGACCTTCTTGTTCCCGAGGGGGTTTGCCCTGCACCTAAACAAGAATCTCCTCTGACCTCAGGCCAGGCTGAACATGGCAAGGGCCCAGCTTCCCAGGGTGTGTGGTTACTCTCGCAGCGCAGTGTATGTCTGTGGCCACCAGCTGAGCAAGGTGTGAAGCCTGACCAGCCTCCAGGCTAAAATCGCCTCTGCCTTTCCTTTAGGGGGATGGAAGGTGAAAGTGAATAGCAGCAGTTCTGGTGGGATGACTTAGACATGAAAGGGAAAGCTGAGCGGAGGAGGAGAGCAGCAGCAGTGTTCGGGAGAGACCAGAATGGGCAATGCTGGGTATTTATTACAGCCATATCCTCCTTGGTTAGCAGTCCTGGCTCTGAGCCAGCCTCCTTAGGAAGTCAGGATTTCTCTTGAAAAAGCACCTAACTTTCTTGTGGCTTTATTTAAAATGCCCGTTTCCTGTGATTAACTTTGTCCACCTTCCAACTGTCAGTACTGCTTTGTGCCATTGTAAAGATTTTCTTAAATTCAGTCCTTACAGTACTGAGAAGTAATTTTTAATATACACAAAAATATAATCCCTTTTTAAAATATTTCTTCAGCCTTGTGAGTTAAAATCATCGTGAGTTAAAACCATCCCTGTGAGTGAGCTTACACAATGTTATATTTCATGCCTAAATGATGGAAGGATTTAAAACTAAGGAAGTACTGTAGATGTGAAACATCTACATCCCACAAGCGCTGGCACAAGAGCTCTGCCTTGTGCTGCAGAAAATCATCTCTGCTCCTGCAGCCACGTTTCGAACATTCTCTTACCTGTTTTGTATCAACTCATAAGAACTTACAGCGGAGACTTTCTGACACTTCTAGTCATGCTGGTGTTTCCAGGGTCTCTATGGTGCAATGAAATACCAGTTAAAAAATAGAAAATGCTTCGCTTTTAATTTTTTTCCAAATCTAACTCTGTGCTTGTTTTGCAGTAGAGGAAGACGCTACCACAGCGTGCTGCAGCTCTTGCCTTTGGGTCACCTTGCCTGGGAGGGCCTGGCTCGGCGGTGGCTCGTGTTGTCCCTGGGTTTAGATCAGGCCCATGTGAACAAGGGTCCCTGTTGTCGCGCAGGTGCACGTGTGTGCAGAACTGGCACCTAAAAGGGAGTGAGGTTTTTGGGGAGGCGTCAGTCAGACGTGGTGGTTCTCCACGGGGCTGCAGAGGCAGCTCAGCAGCGAACGGGATGCAGGACTGCAGACAGGTTGACTTTCCCAGTCCTGGGAGCGTACGAGGCTGTCCCGTATCTCCCGAGTGATGCAAGACACTGCTCAAAACAGCCTCAAATCCATCTTAAGTAATAAAGCTTTTATTACCAGGGAGCATTTTGGTGTGGACTCTGTGCCTTTAAATAGTTTCTCTGCCATCCTGAATGACTTTGAAATTTGTTGTTATTCTGCTGTTAAAAATACCTTAGCTGGGAAGTCCAAAGTCCTCGCCTGCTGGTTCAGCTTCTCCATGCCTGAGGCAGGACTGAAAATAAATGAATAATTAAAAAAAAAAAAAATCTTTTCTACAGCTGGTGCAGTACCAATTTTTTTCTTACATTTTTGGAAAGAGCTCTTGCAGCAGGGACATTCAGGCATCAGACTGACTTAGCTGGAGGAAGAGTCAAGTCCAAAGGCCACTCTCAGGAGTTGTGCCCTCTGGCTAGTTGGCTGCTGCAGTTTTGTATAAACGTGGCGCAGCTGCAAACCATCCTGGCACACACAGGAGCATCACAGCTGCTGCTGGGGACGATTTTCAGAAGCAGAACCAGGATGGCTGCAAAAGCACTGCCTCTTTCTTCTGCTTAGAAGTAAGAATTAAAATAGTGGCTCCTGATTCCACTGTGCTGGGGCAGCAGGTGAGGGAGGTCTCAGGCCTGCTGGCGTCTAATGCTGCGCTGTGCCAGCCGAGGCAGCGTCTCCCCACCTTTACTTTCCAGCCAGAAAAATGGGAGCGAAGGCAAGGAGAGAGGTGATCTTGTCAGAGCGGAGAGCAGCAGCAGTAACTCAAGCAGCAGGATTTTGGGCAGGTTGGCAAAGCTGCTCTAGTGGCGTTTGTGGGGTCGCAAAGCTGTGAGGTGCAGAGGGTGGGGATAACAAGCCACTGTACTATCAGTGGGGGTTATGCTGGGGGTTGTGTCTATGCATCCAAAGGGCTCTAAAATGAAGGCGAGAGGCAGCAGTATCTGTTATACACTCTTTATTTTTCATGTGGAGCTTGGCCGATAAATAGGACTGAATTAAAGCAACACTCATGAAAAATAAAACCCAACCATGACTCAGAAGTGCAAAATTGCCCTCTACGTGTCCAGAAACAATAAGGTTCTGGTTTGCTGGAGACAGCACATGGGTATTGGTGTCTGTACCAGCAGGGCAAAGGCTTCAGCTTCTTGGTATCCTAAATGCAAAAGGATGTCTGGTACAGTATATGGCTTTGTCGCTGGGTAGTCACCTATGCCTCTAAGAAACAACTTCCATTAAGAAGAGGTCACTGGTGAGTTTTCCTCCAGTTCCTATTTACAAGTCATGGTGCTGTCTTCTGCTTAACCACTGAACAAGGGCTGCTGAACAGTAATTGCTATGAAATTAAAACAAAAAACCCCAAATGGTAGAAGCCAAGAAGAAGAAAAACCTGCCCACCTCCATTGCGTTTGGACATGGCTCATCATATAAACAGCACCAGTAGAGAGCAGACAGTTCCCGTGGTGGTGGAGTGGTTTGTGATGTGAAGACCTAAGACTTGCAGAGGATCAGAAAAACTAACAAGTGCATCCAAGGTATGAAATTACAGTAACAGGTTGCCTAAGGCTGAGAAAGGTCTTAATTGCATCGTCCATTTGGACGCACAGCTGGCAGCAGCTGGACTAGCTCTGGCTCTCCCTTTGCGCTTTTCTAGTGAAAGCAGGGTTCACCCTATTTCCTGCTCATCTCCTTTTGCAGCTCTGTGGAGATGGAACTAGCTTGACTCCAGAGGACAAAGCCTACCACAACATACTATGTATTCAGTCTTATGGTAGTCAGAGAAGTGTCTGGCAAAGTGTTGCCAAAGGAAAATCAGTTACCCTGTAGTGGGGGAGGCATGAAAGCTGTAGGGAATGAACAGAGTGCAAGGCTGATTTGGTGCCTGGTACGAGGTTCTGTAATTTACCTGCCTGGAAAACTATCTGGAAGGGAAGGAGCGAAAGGAGTTGACCTACTAGATCACTCGGCAAGGGCAGGGATGGTAGCCAAGGAAGGGGGGACTGCTGCCAGCAGGTACTACCACCCTGTGTGCTCAAGCACTCGGGTGTCTTGCTCCTTCACAGTTTTTTATTCCAAGAGCTGCTCAGAGCCTTCCCTCTCCCAGTGTTTCCTGTGCTGCCTGCACAGGGAACCAGCGAAGTGCTGACACTGCTGGCCACAGCAGGCTGCGTGTCCTGATGGATTTGGAACTCCAGGGAGCAGTGGCACAGGGGCGATTTCACTGCTGCAATCCCCTGCCCAGGCTGCCTGGGGTCTGTGCCCAGTAGGCTGCCGGTGGGACAGACGGACAGAGAGCAGCACCAAAGCTGGTGCTGGGCTGGAGAGCCTCGAACGTGCCGTGCACTGGGGCAGGCTTCGCCAGGCAAGCTGGAAGCAAAACGGCATTGTTGCTTCACAGCCCTACGGCCGTGATGCAGGCGGGGTGCTTCTTGCAGCGCTCTGAGCTGCGGGGCCGGGCAGCTTTGGGGGCTGCGGGTCCCCTGTGCTCAGGAATCCCGCAAGTCTGCAGCCCCCTCACCAGTGCCGCTTGCGGGACTGAACGGTGGAGCCAGGTGTCGGGCAGGTCTGGCTTTGCCAAGCTGGAAGGAGACCAACTAGTGCATTGAAGGGAGGGAAAAGCTTCACTCGTGTTACCTTTTCTGTGGTTCTGCTTTGGGGCTGTAGGGGCGTCATGGACAGAGGAAGAAAATCCCTAATCCTGTTTAACAGGTTTCCATTGTTTTTTTTCCAGCTTTTTCTCTACATTAGTGTAGAGGAACGGCCTCGGGACCCCTGCGGCAGCAGGGTGTCTGTGAACACATCTTGTTCAGATTTTGCTGAGAAATTTGTTTAACCAGCTGAGTAGCGTGTGAGGACAGCAGCGGTGTTGTGCTCGTCGTTTGGTGATACGTAGCAGGGAGCAGCAGCGTTTCCTAGGAGGCCGTGTCCCAAGGCCTTGGGATCCCACTTTTTTTTTTTAGAATTCGCCAGTAAAAATCACCCATGTCTTCAAACTACCTGTTTCCTACGACAACACGTTCCAGCTAGGGCTGTCTTTTCGTTTACTTTCTTGCCTCCAAAGTGCAAAGCCAGGGAGCGAAACAGAAGTTATCGGGCAGCTGTTCAGGCACTGGGAACACGGAGAGCGATTTGATAAAGCAAATACAGCCCGACTCTTTTACATACACCCCGTACAGACGCTTGGTCAACAAGCAGCATTCAATAGCTTGGATATATTAAATGGATTTCCACCATTTCACATTTCATTTTTCACCATTTCTCCGTTTCACTGGCATGGTTTGGGGGCTGGGGCAGATGTCATTTAAAAAGGAAAAAAAGTAAAATTTTATTGTTTCTCAACATATTTGCTGCAGCAATGCCATTCCTTCACCTGCCAGAAGAGCTCAAGGTTAGCAGGGTCTGGTACAACTGCATCTTCTCCATCCGTGGGCTGCAGCCGTCACGTGCCTGTGTGCCGGGTCCGGGTCAGGAGCCAACAGGGCTCCTCCTGCCAGTGCCGCTCAGTGCAGAGCTCCCCACCAGCCTGGCCTGCCTGCAGCAGCTGTAAGCAGCAACACATGGACAGGAGCTTGCACAAAGGTGTGTATTTTTCTGTCAGTCCCCGGTATCGTGTCTGGCAAGCACTGCTGGCCAGGCCTCCAGGCACTGTGAGAGAGCGGGGATGGGATAAGCTCCTCCTGAGATCTCCCTTGCTGTGCTCCAGTCTGTTTTCAGCATCATCTCCCAGAGCACGTTGCCTGCTGTCAAAGATACCCCAGATGTTCCTCACGCTTCTCCCCATCCAGCAGTTGAGTTCATAGCTTGTTCTTCTGTCTCATGGTTAAAAAAATATATCTTTATCTTACTTTTCATCCTCGTCTCCCTCGCTCATGCTGCTGAGGGAGGCAGAGGCAGCTTTTGGAGAAGAGGGAGGAGAGGCTTTATTGAAGACCCAGGGCGGAGATGGAGAACGAGATGGAGAACGGCCTCGCGTAGGACTGCTGTTTGGGCTCTGCCGGGGAGAAAAAGCCTGGAGCATTCGGCCACTTCGTTCCTGGAACATCTGCTTCTGGAAAAGCAAAGTAACAAGATGCTCTTTGAGTAACACACAGAGAGGAAGGTATGTCTGTGGGCAGGCAGGGGCCATGCTGCACTGTGCCTCTCACCTGTGAGAGAGCAGGGAGACAGGAGATACCTCTGCTCTGAAGCAGGGCCAGTTCAGCCCACACTTAGCCTTTGCCTCTCCTGCTGTGCTTGTAATAAAAGTGGGGTTTACATGACAAGGTTTTTCTCTTAGATGGGACACCCCTAGCATGAGAACACTGTCTATAGTCCTAATCCAGCTAGGGGGAACTCCCTTTGGATTTTTTGTACGTGTTGGTCACACTCTCTCAAAAAGTCAAGTTTTCTGCCTGAACTCCCAATGTTCCTTGTTCCCAGGACCTTTTTCTTTTAGCGTGCTGGGACAGACCACTTGTGTCCTGCTGAGCTTCCAGGACTAGCCCAGCCTTTTTACTCCTTCCCTTCTCGAGGAAGGTGGCCCAGTCCCTGCCAAATACTGGCAGCTACTTCCCCAGCTTCTTGGAGCAGACACCACCCAAACCCTTAAATTGGGGAGTAGGAATGTCAGAATTCAGATGTCTTTGTCAAAAAGAGAAACACATGCAGGCTCTGTGTTCTGCTTTGGGCTTTATTGTCATTTTTGCTTTGTAAAGCTGAGCGCAGGCCTGCCAGAGCTGGCGCGGTGGAAGAGACCACCTCTTCAGCCCAGCGATATGCCACGCTACGGCGAGTGCTGCTGCTCGTTAGTGCCTACGTGGCCTTGCGTGAGGCTGCTGGGCTGCGTTACAGGAGATCTGGCACGTTCTGCGTGGCTGCTGCAGGCTTCAGGTGGAAAACGCTGAACGCGCGTGCCTTGCTGCTCCTCCTGGAGTGGGGAACAAGAAGTCTCAACCTTGGCTGGAATACTGGGGGTCGGATCGCAGGCGATGCTCGGCTGGAATGGAAGAGCCAGCCCAAAGTTAAGTTTCCACTCAGGTCGGAGAGCAAAATACTTTTGCAGAACGTATTCTGGATTTGCCTGCTTGGGCGGCTGCAGGCCACAGGCTTTCTCAGCTGGAGTTTTTTTGTTCCTCCTCCCGTTCCCCCTTCAACAACTCTGCTCTGTGATGACCTTCCTCCCAGCCAAGGTGCATGTGACTGCCCATCTTGCTCTTCCTACCCCTCTTTGAAACTCAGTATTCCCTGCCAGCGGAGGGGCAGATGCTCGGTTTTCCCATCAGATTTCTGGTTTTCCCATCAGCTAATCCTGGGGTTTAAGGATTGAGCACAAATACCAAACTTAACTGTTCCTCTGTGAGCTCCCTCACTCAATTTATCTCTTTATCACATTGACCTTTATTAACTTGGTTTTAGAGCATGGATGTCGCTGCAGTGCAGAATGACAGAACAGTTCCTGCCTGGAGCTACGCTTAGCCATGTTGTCGTGCATAACGACTCATGGTGTGTAACCTACCCCTGCACTACTGCTAGGTCCAAAATAGTCAAGGCTTCCTAAAATCTCAATAGTTAGCAGATGGTGGTTGCTCCTGATGAATGGTGCCAGGAAGCATTCAGATGGGGGAGGGTTTCTGCTGCTGAGAGCTGCAAGGATGTCACCAGGGCTGGCAAAGCCCTGGAGCCTGTTGAAATTCAGTGGTAGAAGTGCAGAATTTCTCTTTAGATCACAGAAACGGAGGTTTTAGTGGCTTGACTTAGCCTGTTTCATCCTCTCACTGAAGATAACCCCCAACAAAAAAAAAAAGATGTTTGATATGAAATATCTTTTTCCTGGCCAAGCAAAACACTTTGATTCCCTCCTGCCCCTGGCACCATACCAGCCACTTCAGAAAGCTCAGTGATGTCACGGTGCTTTGTGGTGTTGAGGTACCAGTGCTGGGGGAGATCAAAGTGGCCAGCTTGGCTGGCATCCCGTGTGGGAGAGCGTACTTGACTGTATCTCAGGACACATGGGCCAGGGATGGAAAGGAGAACCCCAGCTTTCTGCTAAGGCCCTCAGCCAGGCTATAGGACACCCACTTCCCGGTCCCTGCTTCAGCAAAGAGCTTGTTTGAACAAGCTGGTACACTCACACCTTCAGCAGGGTAAGCGCCGAGCCCGTCTGAATTGCCTCCTGTGTTAGTGCTGTAACCACCAGGTCGCTGGCTAAAATGACTGCCGCAGGAGGAGGCGGTGGTGTAATTCACCTGCCTCCAGAATGACTCTTCCCCTCCAGCTGTGCTCTAGCAGGGTCACTAAGTCATGCCCTCTGCAGGCAAGGTCTTCCTAACAGGGACTGCTCCTGGGGCCGTTGGGTGCTGAAGAAGTAGAACAACTGTTAATGGCTCCCTTGAAGTGCAGGAGGGTCAGACACGGCTGGTTGCACTCTGGACTTTTACCAGAGGTGGGAAAATAATTTCAAAGCCTTGGTTCAAGCAAGTTCAGGTACACACAACCCGTTTAAGGATATAATGCTTTGCTTTTGGCAAACTTGCTACTGGGCAAAAATATTTTGCCTATTTCTGAATTTTATTGCCTACCCGTTGATACTCCTTTGCTCTACAAAACAAGTGCCAGTTGGGTGTTACAGAGGACCGCTGCTTTTGAGCTGCTGATTCTTTCAAGGCCGTGCTCAGGTCCAGGCTGCGGACGCGCGGTGTGGCCTGAACACTGTCCCTGGGTTCTAGTTGCAACCTTGCAACCTGTAAGACTTATCTGAGTCCCTGCTGATGTCTGAAGTGACACAGCTGTTCCTCAGTGCAACCATCCCCGACTCTCTCTGTGCACTGAGCAGAGGGAAGCTGGCCCTTTGAAAGGACACCTTGTCTCAAGGGACACTTCTGAGGGAGGCTGGCATGGAAACCCTACCCTGTGAGAATGGCTTTCTCTCTGCTGACCTGAAGTGCAGCTGCCCACTTGTACGTCCAAGAGGAGGTGGAATGAATCCTGCTGCTTTCTGCTTCTGTGGACTGGCATCTCTGCCATTAGGGCCTCCATGCTGGGCTGCACGGTGGTCCTCTCTTATGCCAGAACAAAAGTTTCATGCCACATGAATCGTCACTTCTGACCTCTCTGTGACTCTCTTGCAGAAAAAAATACATACAGGGGATTGCACAGGTGGGCAAAATTGCCAATGAATTATAGACATCTTGACATCTGTAAACTGACATTTTGACCTTTTTCACAAATGGGCAGATTTTTGTGGGTTACGTGGCCCTTACTTTTAGAAAATTGATGCTAGCATAAAGCATATTATAATAATTATTTGTGAAATAATAATAGCATATTAATGGCATGCAAATTACTGATCTAGAAATCCAGCATGCCCATAATGATTCCTGTACTTTTAATGTCAACATTAAAAGCAACATCTAACTAACAGTGATAAGGTAAATTAATGTTAATAACAGTTTTGACACTAATAGCAAGTTATCATTGTTTTAAAAGTCTTTCCTGTTGCCAAGGCTCAAAGTGATTTTTAAAAATTCCCACCACCTCTCAGCTCACTGTCACTGCTGCTTTTCCTACAACACTGTGAGGAGATTTCAATCCTCTTGTTCTGTGATTGCACCAGATTTCTTCTCTGTGGTTCAAACTAACTCAGGAAACAGGAGGCCACCCCCAGCTTCTAAAAGACCTTTGCAGAGCAGCTTTTCTCTAACTGAATTTGGTAAAACGTTTTATCAGCAAAAGGTTTTTAAAAATGCCACCAGTGTGTAGTGTTGAGTGGCTACAGCTAGGGAATGGGATCAAGGCTTTTAAATTCTCTTCCTCTCTGCACAGCCAAACTCATCTGACCTCCTTTGCGTATCATGTGCTCTGTTAGCATTGGTTTTATTTATTCAACATCTTTGGCCACAGGACCATCCCACATGGGGAACACCTGCCAAGCTCTATGGAGAATAAGTCACAGAGGAAGCTTCATGTGGATGTTGTCAACACAGGTAAATCTGAGCTTTTCATCAGAAGAGTTATCCTCTTCCTCTCCCCAAGAAAAAAGGGTAATGTCAGTGAACAAATTGCTAAATAAGCTATTTGTTTATATGGCTTGGACAGTGTTTTTCAGAAACTCCCAACGGGAAGGTCTAAGAAGGTCTGTTGAAACAAACGGTAACTTTTACATTCAAATTAAGCTTTGCTACTGGTTTCAGTGTAGCGACGCTAAGTAGTACAAGAAAACAAAGCTTCTCAAGGTTTGGCAAGCTATCAGAACTGAAAGGTGGGAGCCACGGCTCTTTTGTGGCTCTCAAGTGTCACAGACTCACCACCCAGTGCATGACTTTAGTTTGAGCAGGTAAGGCCCTGGGATCTCTCCCCAGAAGGATGCTGTTACAGCCTCTCAACTGCCTTTCCAAAGCACCTGGGGACCTTTGGCAAACAGACTCTGTGGACCCAGCACGTACTGAGGAGAGCTTTGGAAGTGCTTCAGTTGCTTGCAGTCAGTTAGATGTGCCTGGCCACTCGACATGTAAAATAATTTCTTGGAACTTTAAATCAGTAGTTTTGAAAGTTAGAAAATTGTCGTCTTCTACTTCTGAGTACAGAGCATGAAGAGAACTATTGAAAAACTTTGTGTCCTTGTTTCCCTCACCATCTTCAGTGTTTAACTCCTCCCTGGTGTCTGTGTGGTCTCACTTAGTGTTAATGGGGAGAATAGACTGTATTAGCCTGTTTGCTCATGTGTTGCTGTTATGCAGCTCTACTGAACGCAGTATCACCTTCAGCATCGCACCTTCATGAAAGACAGAAATTATCCCAAAGAAGCAACAGCCAGAAGCGGCAAATCCTCCTGCTGCAGTATTGGCATGTGTTACTGGATTCAGCAAGCAGGTTTAGCGTTATCCCACTGTGCTGGCTTTTAAAACTAAGACTGCAGCAAAAGAATATGCTCTTGATCTGTGTTACAGAAGATAAATAAAAACCACTCAGGCTTCCTGGGATGGCAGAATACCTACCCAGGCTCCATCAGGTCCAAAAAGCTCTAAAAAGTTGCCAATAAATTCCCTGGACTTTTCTTCCCATTTCTGAATGAGGTCATGGCTCTTCTCTTCCACTTTGTAAACAAATTCTTTTGATTTTTCTTCCACGTTCTTGACCTTTTCTTTCATTTTGTCCACTTGGTTTTGAAAGCGGTATTTCTTCTCCTGTTTTAAAAGTGTGGTCAGAGATTAATACATAGGGACTTGGAAATAATTAGCCACCGAGAGCTGAGAAGAAGAAAAAAATTGCATTAATGTATCCTAATACATATGGCCTTGGTTCACTATTCCCACATTATTTTTATAAATGCAAATTTAACATTTGTGGAATGAAGTGCAGAAGGTACCTATTCAAAAGTCTTGTGTTTAATCCACTACCTGAATCTTTCCATATTTTCAAACTCAATGCACTTTGAAAATTTTATGAATCTTATGAAATTAACAGCTCAAACTTAAGCAAAAGGCAAACCTTCCTGGGTTTCCTAGCAAACACAGCCCACTGCTGAGTTGCCAGCCTGGATGATAACTTGGACCAAAATGTCTCTCTGGTTAGATTTCTTCAGAGCAGAAGGAAAACTCTCTTCACCTCCAAGCCTGGCTAATACAGGAGCTTCTGGCAGCAACAGAAAGATGTGCGTAGGCCAGTAGCGTGTGGCCAGCAGACTTGATAGAAAAGAGATCAAACTGCTAATTGCTAAGTCACACAGAACAAGAGAAGGACAGAGAAGATAATGTTAGGGGGCTAGAGTCAGGCCAAGCTTCTAAACTACTTCAGGGTTAAAGGGCTTTTGTCCTGAAATGCTTCTGTGCTCATCAAAGGTACGGGACACACAGCAAACTAATGCTGTGCCCTTGAAGGTGTAATGGTCTCTGTAGAAGCACAGATCACTATCAGCTTTTAATTTCCTGTGAACTTCATTTAATGGGAGCTTGAATTTACTTTTAAAACAAATACTGTTTAGTGCTGAGGTGGGTTTTATTCTAGCTCATGAAATGCCTTTGTTGGCTGCAAAGACAAACAAAATCTTCAAGGTCCAAATAAACCAAACTTGCTTTGCACCTAATAGTGACCAAGACTTTCTTTAACAAGGAAACCACGTTTCTGTCTTGGTGAAATCCTGGGTTGTTTTTATTTTGAAACACAAACAGCCCCTGGTGCAAATTAGTATTTCTGCATTTAAATTACTATAAGCTAAATAACCAAATGCCAGGAGAGACTTCAGGATACATTAGAGACTGGGGGAAGCATACCTTATGCAACAGTATCTCAACCTCAGAGCCACTGAAGGATAAATTTGAGAATCCCAAGGCATTCAGCATGCCTTAATATTTGCAATAGTGATCCTTTGGGGTGGAGTACTTACGAGCAGGACTTTTTAGAGCTGTAGAAGTCTTAAAAAAAGCACAGTTCAATAAATATTTATGGCCTGTGATCTGTGATTTTTCTGCCAGACTTCAAAGCAAGAAACAAGTAAACAAAACTCTCATGAAATGACACAATTCAGTCATTCATAAGGGGGTTTCCCAGCTCCATAGGAAGTCCTGCTGTGAGCCAGCCCAGTCACAAGGAAGATTTCAGTTATGTGGGTTATCTCGAGGTCTTAAGTTAAGAATTGAAACAGAAAATGAAGGAAAGCAAACTTTCATTTCTGTTAAGCGTTTACTCCTCACTGGGAGGGTAAGGTGCAGTTCTGTGCATGGAAGCTGAATAATTCGAGCCATCTTTTCAAATGGCATCCCTGCCCTACCTGTTGTGGCTTCTAATCTCTTCAGCATGATTTACGTGCCAGCTTCCTAACGCACTTGTCTTTCAAAAAACGTTTTAGCTTCCTCTAGTACTCTTACTGCTCAGTGACTGGGGTGGAGTTTTTTTGTTTTTATCCTATCACATTGTAGAGAAAGTTTGACTATCGAAATATTTGCTCTCTGTGCTGCCTTCTCACAATGGGAATAAGGGAAGAAATCATGCCTTAGGCAGAGAAGGCTGTGGTGGTGGGGTCGGCTCCTTTCTAGTGTGTCATTAAGTCACCTACAGCTCCAGCAGGAAGGGGGAGCAGCAGCTTTGTTAAAAATGTGAAAGTGTAAGATGGAAATGAAGCTGCTAATTACTAGCAGCAATTAAAACTACCTTAAGCTTACCTGTTTCTTTTAAATTAAGTTCTTCCCAGATATTTTAAAAGCACAGGAGGGAGATATCCTTTAACCTTTACTCTACATTTGAGGTCCTAGGAGAGAGTGTTTCAGAAGCAAACGCAGATCAGTGTACTTACATTTATAAAACTGACATTCAGCTCTTTGGCGGTGTATCCTCGTTGGAGGTTGCGCCGGGCATACACATCGTAGTCCCGGACGATCCTTGTGATGATATCCGATGTGGAGATACCTTCGGTTCTCTGTGTTGGTACAAACATTCCTGAGCAAAGTGGGAAAAGAAAGCCCGCTGAGAAAGCACGGCAGGACCAGGCACTGCAGCAGGTAGCTGAGGACGAACACAAAAATGCCTGACCAAAGGTAAGAGACTTGCAATTCTGCCTGTCTTATTCCTAGTTCTTTCCTGTTGTTGCTGTGTGAGCTTAGGGAAGGCACTAGGTTGCTATACTGTGCATTTTTCCTTGAGTTTTCAGAAAGGCTAAAACTTGCCCTCTTCACAGCATCAGCTGTGATGTGGAAGTTATTAGATGGGCAGGGGCTCCAGAGCCAGGAAGGCTATACCTCGCAGTTGTGGCAACTCACTGAGCAGTTCTTTCTGTAAGCATAGCCCTTATTTAATGTTATATAAAGGAGGGGGGAAATTGGCTTCCACTCCTGCTATTGAAAAGCCATTTGCTGCTCTCCTGCATATTTCTACTCTCCCCTCCACTCCTGTGCTGCACCAGTCTTTGTTCTGCTGAGTAAAACAGACTGCCCTTGACCAAAGCCAGGAAGCACCTTCAGGTAAAAGATGCGTTACAATAACTGGAAAACGCCCTGGAGATGCCAGTAGCTTGTAATAGGAAGGTGAAGCATAATGCTAATGTGAACAAACACAGATATACTGTGAGGACTGAGGGTATCAGTCTCCATAGCCCTTGTTTCATGTCCATCTGGCCATGTCAGTGGCTGCATAACCACTGTCCCTGCTCCAACAGATCAGTCCCTAAGAAAACTGGCCATTTGTTAATACTGCTTGTATTTTCCTCAACACAGCAGAAGTATAGGTTGCTTTTTAATTGCTCCTCATCAAGACAGGTTCACTTGAACTGTTAATGCAAGTCAAAAAGGCAATAATAGCAGAGTGCTAGCACACCTTGGTTTAGTAGTCATTTAGGGCTACAAAAAATTATTAATATCATTTATAAGTAATTGCAACATCAAGTTGCTGATGAAAGAGAGCTGTGAGATAAGACTGGAAATGGTTTTGCAAAAAAAAGCGGTGCTTTGTCTTAAAAGGGTGCTATAGCTACTGGCAAATTAATCCTTGCACATTGACTTTAAGTAGGCAGGCATTGCTAGCTAATTTCACTGGGTTAGAAAAAGATCTGGAGAAGGAATCAAGAAGCTTAGCAGCTTCTTGTGACTAAATGCTATGTGATATTTTTTCTTTCTGATCTCTAATTAATACTCTGCTAAAAAAATAGATTATTTTAATCACAAGTAGAGAGGTTTCCCTGGTCGTGCTTTTCAGGCTTGCAGCAGTCACTCAGGAAACTATTTTTGGAAGCAGTGAAACCCACTTTGAGCCAGAAGCCTTTACAGATAGCAGCTACAAGAATACATGAACGAAATCCAAACCCTACCCTTGCTAAGCCAAAAGCTGAATTTTCAAGTAGATGCACAAAGCCATGTATGAGAACGTTACCTTTAGTCATTGATTTTGCTTTCATTTGCTTCATGTGATTCATGTTTTCCAAACTAATTGTACACAGATGTGCAGAGGTTTAGTCATTGCCCTGTTACCCAGCTCACTATTGTCCATACACCCCTCCACCCACTGAAGGGAGTGGGAACATGGGAGCCCACAGGAATCTACTCAAGGTCTCTGCTCCCCAACAATCTGATGTGGGAAAATGGGAGTACTGGAACTGAGGAAAATGCACAAATGCATCTGCAGCATTGGTCTATTTAAAACAAAACCCCCTAGGTGAAAGGGGAAATTCACTGTTTTAATAATGGTGTTCTGGAGCTTTAGGACTCCACAGCACTAGATCTCAAAATTACAGCACTAGATCTCAAAATTCTTCACAAATAAAGTAACGTTATTCCCAGTTTATATGTAACAAAATTCAGCTATACAAGACTGAAGTCACTTCTCCAGCACTTCGCAGTGATGCACACAGGACAGATCACAAGTCCCTGAAGCTGTAAGTCCATGCTCTATTCTGCAAAGTTTGAATTTCTCATCAGGACATGCGCGCACTGCACCCGTGCCCAACAACAGCAGAGAAGGTTAGTGCCAGGTGCAGGCATTCTCCAGCTCAGCCTGGTAACGATGCAATGACACCAATGGCTCCTGTCATGTTGTCCTGTGCACTCAGCACCTCACAGAAGAAAATCAAAACAGCTGCCTGTCCAGCACATATCCTGTATATCCCTCAGTGACCCGTCCTTACCCAAGGTACCTTTGTTCCATTGCCTAGTGAAGTAAGCTGGCACTGGCTCTGAAACTGTAGAACAGCAGTTCCCAAAGGAGGGTTGTGAGTCTGACACCACAGTGAGGTTTGCAAGGGGAAGAAGATCAAGAACTGCTGCTATAAAAAGCTTACTCTTTCAGCTCAGGTCAATACCTGGTTTACTGCTGTCATTGTATAGCTTGAGAAGGTCATTTTGCATGACAAATTGCCATCAGGCAGATTTGCTCTGGAATTTTTTTAAGCCTCCAACATACAAGTTTATGTAGACTAGGAAGAAGATGGATTCACCAGTGTTCAAAGCAGCACCTCCAGGGAGAAGGAGAAGAAAAGTGTGATCAGTTCCTCCTCCCGTGCTGTTTACTGCGTTAGGATAGCTGCTGCTGGCAAAGAGCAGCTTAACATCATCTCCTCATATTTAAATCAGCTTCCTGGAACTGAAGAGATACAAACTCCTGATGACTTCATGTTCACGTTCAATGTAATATGGTAGTCAACTAAAATGCTAAACAGTCATGAAAGAGTAAATAAATTACTTTGGTACTGATTTAAACCCTTTGCCAATGTAGTGAAAAGAACCCACGGTGCAAATCAAAAGTGGATCCTAATGACTCCTGAAGGCTGCCTGTGCTTGCCTGTATTCAGGACCGGGCTGTGTCAAGGAGTCATCAGCTTGTGGTTATCAAACCACTGAAGTTGGCTGGGCTGCTGTGGGAACTAAATTCATTTTCATCCATCCAAAGCTCTTAATCAAGCACCCTAAAATTGTTTTAAAAAAACAGATAGGACACTCATGACAGATCTGAATGGTTTCCTGGGGGTTATGGCAGGAATTTAGCCAAAGACATCTTTTGTGGTTTTACGAAGTGAATCTTTCTGCTGAAGTCAGCAGTACCTACTGTTAGGGTGTAAGAGAATGTGATATTATCTCTACTGCCTCTCTCCCAGCAGTTGTGGTCAAAAGGCAGTAAAAGAATTTGAGCTGAGGCTGAAAAAGCAGGTGCTAAAATGTAAGAGTTGCCCTTACCTGCCTCCTTTATGTGTTTGTATACATCATCCGAGCCAGCAGAGGAGTATGGGATGTCATCGTGGGCTACAAAGTCAATCTGCCAGTGAACAGAAGAAGAATCACATGCCACCATCACTGAATTTTGGTTCACTGGGGGGTCGTTGTGGAGGATCATCTCTTTTCTCGACTTCAGCTGACTTGCTTTTGACATTCTCATCCTAAAGCCATCACCTAGAATATTGCACTAGATTTAGGCCTACAGCTGCTGTGTTGTGTGATCAATTATGAAAGAACAGAAAGCTTGTTTCCAGAAGCACTGCTCTTAACACATTGCTCTGGTTGGCTCTGGGTCATCTTCTGTACAAAACCTAAGACACCCGTTCCTGCTTTTATTGCTACTGGAAGAGCTAAGCCAAACGGCAAAACCTTGGCTTTCAAAATCACGGAGGCAGGATTACTGATTTTGCCTCCTCAGGGCTGTGTGTATATACATGTATACCTAGTAGTACCATGCTGTCCTTTCGTCACTCAGTGACGTGGGCACTAAAATACACCCTAGTTAATTATGCTTTTGTTAAGATTTATATATATTGCAAGACAGTCATTAGCATGTAAGAAATTCCATCCTGCCTTTCAGAGGGCACATGACGTTTTTACATATTTCTGGCCAATTATTGCACTTTTTGACATCAATATGAAATGTGCCTTTAATGCAGGACTTTAACAGGACTTCAGTCACTATATGATAACCTTTCTGATTCATGATCTCCTTTACTGAAAGTCAATTTGTGAATAATTCTTCAGTGTTATTTTGCCATTCAAAAATCCCACTATAGAAATCATCTCAGCATATAAAGAAAAAAAGGGCAAGACAAATATAACATTTTCTGACAAAGATGGATGCAAGCAATGCCATGTATCTACTTACAGTGGCTGGAATTAACCGAATTAAAGAATTTGCTCCAGCTAATAGAATTTCACCAACTTGCTGTTTATGCTCAACTGTCAGTCTACAAAGGGGAAGGGAGGAGTAAGAGGAGAAATGTACCTTATGTTTTTCAAGGAACTCGGGTGTCAGTGTCCAGGGTGCATCTCTGATGACCTCATCCACGTAACGGCAGTGTCTGAGGGCTTCATATCGCTCAGTTTCATTCATCACAGTGAAGCCTTTGAATTTGTGAGTTAAATCATCACTGCAAACTAAAATATGGAAGCATCAACAAAACGGTTACACACTCAGTAGAATTAGCATAACCAGCAGTTATTTATTTCCTGATAATTTCATTAAGCACTTAGTTATTCGCTTAACTAATTTTGGGGTGTTCCAGGGCACCTAAGAGTTCCACTTAGGGTTCCAGGTTCAACCATAGATTTCTGAGAGACCTTTCCCTTTCTAGAGCTGCAGTCAGAGCCCAAGTGAGATACTGTAGGATGTCTCAGCTGGTACAGTATGCACATGTTGAGGCAACACAATCCCAGGGATTTCACAGGCTGTGACATTTCAGGGGTGATGGCCAATGCTTTAAAAACTATCAAAAAGTGCTGTGTCGGCAATCACAGAGTGCTGGCAAACTTCATGTATCACAAAATGGTCAAGGTGGGAAGGTACCACTGGACACCACCTAATCCAACCCTCCTCCTTACAGCAGGGTCAACTACAGCAGGTTGCTCAGGGCCATGTCCAGTTGAGTTTCCAAAGATGGAGACCCCTCAGCCTCTCTGGGCCTCCCGTTCCCACTTTTTGTTCTTATGTGAACAATGCTCTAAATGATGAACTTGCCAACAAAGCTCTAAATTGCAGCAGAAGTTTCTCACTAAATAAACACTGATGGAAAACAAGTCAAGGCAGATTTCATAGGA